TAACAAGTGTGTAATTGGAAACTAAGGAATAAAAGATACACAAAACAGAAGAAATAATGGTCAAAACTTTTTCCATAAATGGTAAAAACTACAGAATCATAGACCCACAGCCACCAACTACCACAGGGCAGGATGACTGCATAGCCACCACCACAAACACATTACAGTCACATCACTGAAAGTCAGACTATGGTTAAGAGAGAAGTCTCGGGGCCGGAGCTATGGCATAGTGGGTAAAGCCGCCACCTGCTGCGCTGGCAACCCATATGGGCACTGGTTGGAGTCTCGGCTGCTCCACTTCCGATCCAGCTCCCTGCTAATGGCCTGGAAAAAAGTAGGGGAAAATAACCCAAGTACTTGGGCCCCTGCTACCCATGTGGGAGCCTGGAAGAAGCTTCTGGCTCCTGGCTTCGGCTTGGCCCAGCCCTGGCCATTACAGCCATCTGAGTGAACCAGTGACTGGAAGATCTCTCTCTCTCTCTCTCTCTGTCTCCCTCTCTGCAACTCTGATCAAGCAAATAAATCTTAAAAAGAGAGAGAGAAAAAATCTTTTTTAAAAAATTTTATGTATTTATTTGAGAGGTAGAGTTACAGACAGAAAGAAGGAGATACAAAGAGAAAGGTCCTCCATCTTCTGGTTCACTCCCCAAATGGTCAAAACAGCCAGAGCTGGGCAGATCTGAAGCCAGGAGCCAGGAGCTTCTTCCGGGTCTCCCACGTGTGTGCAGGGCCCCAAACACTTGGGCCATCCTTCACTGCTTTCCCAGGCCATAGCAGAGAGCTGGATCAGAAGAAGAGCAGCTGGGACATGAACCAGAGCCTGTATGTGATGCTGGCGCTGCAGGCAGAGGCTTAGCTTACTGTGCCACAGCGCCGGCTTTGAGAGAGAAAAATCTTAAAATCAGCCAGTGGAAAAAAGAAAAAAAAAAGATAAGGATAAAAATGACTTCCTTTCAGAAATAACATAAGGCCACGCACAGCAGCTTTTTAGTGGGGGTGGGGGATTGGGGGGTGGGAGACACAACATAGAGTCCTAGATCAATGATCCCAGTAAATTAAATCGATAATTTAAAATTGTCCCACGAAGGGGCCAGTGCTGTGGCATAGTGGGTAAAGCCACTGCCTGAGATGAAGCATCCCGTGTGGGTACCCGTTCCTGTCCTGGCTGCTCCACTTCTGATCCAGCTTCCTGCTAATCGCATGGAAAAGTAGTGGAAGATGGCCCAAGTGCTTTGACCTCCTCTCTCCACATGGGAGACCTGGAAGAAGCACCTGGCTCCTGGCCTCAACCTCGCTCAGCCCCAGCTGTTGTAGCCATCTGGGGAGTGAATCAGTGATGGGAGATCTCCCTCACTCTCCCTGTCTCTCCCCCTTGCTCTGTAACTCAGACTTCAAATAAATAAATCAATCTTTAAAAAAAAAAAAACCCACACCAAAAAAAAAAAAAAAAAAACCCAAAACAAAACAAAACAAAAAAACAGGATAAGATGGTTTCAGTGATGAATTCTACCAAAGATTTAAAGTAGTGTTAGTACGTATCCCTCACAAATTATGAAAAAACAGAAAAGGAGGAAAGACTTCCAAATTCATTCTGAGGCTAGTATTACCCTAAAAACAAAAGCCATATGCCAGTATCCCTATAAAACCTCCACCAAATTACTAGTAAACCCAACCCAGCACTTCAATTATATAAAAATCCAACTTATGGGGCTGGCGCTGTGGCACAGCGGGTTAACGCTCTGGCCTGAAGCGCCGGCATCCCATATGGTCGTTGGTTCGAGACCCGGCTGCTCCACTTCTAATCTGGCTCTCTGCTGTGGCCTGGGAAAGCAGTAAGAAGATGGCCTAAGTCTTTGGGCTCCTGCACCCGCATGGGAGACCCGGAAGAAGCTCCTGGCTCCTGGGTTCGGATCGGCACAGCTCCAGCCATTGCAGCCATCTGGGGAGTGAACCATCGGATGGAAGACCTCTCTCTCTGCTTCTTCTCTCTCTGTGTAACCCTGACTTTCAAAAAAATAAATAAATCTTTATAAAAAATCTAACTTATAAATTATATAAAATGATTATAGATCACCACCAAATGTGATTTATCCTAGGAATCCAAGATCGGTTTAAAATCTAAAACGGCAATCGATATAAGACACTTTATTAACAGAATAAAAGGAGAAAACCACATGCTTACTTGAGTGATGCCGAGAAAATATTTGACAAAATCCAACACCAACTCAACAAATTGGGAACAGAAAGCAATTTCTTCAACCTGAAAAAGGCATCTATGAAAAACCCCCAGGCAACATCCTTGAAGGGTAGACTGAGGCTGCCGAGACAAGAAACAAGGATGTTCCCCATCCTCATTTACATTCAACTCTGTATGGGGGATGCCAGGCAGGCTTATTAGGTAACAAGAAGAAAGAAAAAGCGCTCAAATTTGGGGCCGGCACTGGGATGTAGCAGGTAAAACTGCTGCCTGTGATGCCAGCATCCTATACGGGTATTGGTTCGTGTCCTGGTTGCTCCACTTCTGGCCTGGGAAAAGCAGTGAAAGTGGCCCAAGCACTTGGGCCCCTGCACCCATGTGGGAGACCCAGAGGAAGCATCTGGCTCCTGCCTCCTGGCTTTGGCCGGGCCCAGCTCCAGCTATTGTGGACATCTGGGGAGATCTCTCTCTCTCTCTCTCTCTCTCTCTCTCTCTCTCCCTATCCCTTTCAAATAAGTAAATAATCTTCAAAAAATAGATAAATGAAAGGAAGAAAATATATGCACGTGATATTCCATAGGCCAATTTCTCAAATAATAAAGAATTTCTAGAAATCAAGAAGACAATGACCAATAAATTAACATAGAATGAAGAAAGAGCAAGAACATGCTTTTCAGGAAAAAAATTATCCTTAAACAAGTGGAAGACCATGCAGCTCCACTCACAACAAGAGAAATGCGGATCTAAACCATGCCATCACGTTTCTCACCTATCAGACTGGCAGACATTCAAAAGGCTGACAGCACACTGCCTGAAACTGTGGGGAACAGGCGGGCTCGCACTCAGCTGGTGCAGGTGCAAAACGCCAATACCCACCAGCACGGTCAGAGCACGTGCTCTTGCACACAACAATCCATTTCTGAGAGGGCATCAGACAGATATTCCTGGATGCGGACAACGTGATGTGTTTTACTACAAGATCGGGGTTTGCAAACTTCTTTACTATATTCACTATAACATAACGTTTAACAGGAAAATACTGGAAACTTCCCAAATGTCCATCTGTTGGTGTTTGGTTGAAAAAAGCATGGTTCATCTGTATAGCAGATGTAAGTATTAAAAAAAAAGAATAAGAAAGCTCTTTCTGGGGCTGGCACTGAGGTGTAGCGGGTAAAGCTGCCGCCTGCAGTGCTGGCATCCCATATGGGCACCGGTTCAAGTCTTGGCTACTCCACTTCCGATGCAGCTCTCTGCTATGGCCTGGGAAAGCAGTACAAGATGGCCCAAGTCCTTGGGCCCCTGCACCTACGTGGGAGATCCAGAAGAAGCTCCAGGCTTCTGGCTTCAGCTCTGGCTGTTGCAACCAACTGGGGAGTGAACCAGCGGATGGAAGACCTGTCTCTGCCTCTGCCTCTGCCTCTCTGTAGCTCCGGATTTGGTTTTCCTGATTGATAGGACTTGTAAGAGCCTGTGGCAACTCTAGCAAGTAGAGCAGAGTGTGTGCTGCGGGACACCGAAGACAGGCGCGTATCAACGCCAAAAAATAAAAAGGAAGGGGGATCTGTGGGGAGCAACCGGACTAGACTGAGTTACTGGAATTAAGACTTATTCTATGCATCTGCTCTCCCACAATATGGCGCTGGGAGAGAAGTAAACAGCTTCCGCACAGCTGCCTCCAGTTCAACTAATAAACTGTAGGACTTGCTCCTGATTGGAGGAGAGCAGCGTACTTGGCGTGTGGGCAGCCGAGTTAGGATTGGCGGAGGAGGACTATAAAGGAGGAGAGAGACGGCATGCACCGGGAACATCTATGGGGAACATCTAAGGGAACCCGTGCAGCCCCCGAGAAAGCCGGCCGGCGGTGTGCCGCTCCCCTGCGGAAGTGGGGAATGCGGCCAGGGGGAACTGCCCTTCCACGGAGGTGGAAGGGATGGTAGCCAACCCGGGAAGAACCAGCAGCAAACCCGGGGAGGGCCGAGCAGACGAAAGAACAGCGCAGGGTCCTGTGTCGTTCCTCCACGAAGAGGGGGAGCGACAATAAAGATTTCTCTGGAAAATACTGTTAATGAAAACACAGGATACACAACAGTATAAGTGAGATTCTACTTGTTTTCCTAAGGAAGAGAGAGAAATAGGCATATATATTTGTTCATATTTTCTTTTATCTGCATAAACAAACACTGCATTACAAGGCTATCTGGGTGGCTGGCGCCGCAGCTCACTAGGCTAATCCTCCATCTTGCGGCGCCAGCACACTGGGTTCTAGTCCTGGTCGGGGCGCCGGATTCTGTCCCGGTTGCCCCTCTTCCAGGCCAGCTCTCTGCTATGGCCAGGGAGTGCAGTGGAGGATGGGCCAAGTGCTTGGGCCCTGTACCCCATGGGAGACCAGGAGAAGTACCTGGCTCCTGCCATCGGATCAGCGCAGTGCTCCAGCCGCAGCGCGCCAGCCACTGGAGGGTGAACCAACAGTAAAGGAAGACCTTTCTCTCTCTCTCTCTCACTGTCCACTCTGCCTGTCAAAAAACAAAAACAAACAAACAAACAAACAAAACAAAAAAACACCTAACATGGTAAAAAGTCAATTAAATCCTCACTTAAGAAAAAAAAAACACACACACACACAAGGCTATCTGGGAAGTCTAGCACAGCAGCTCAGGAGGCTAGGGAAAATCTACCTGACACAGTGGAGTGGAACTGCGACTTTCCTTATACAGCTGCCAAATTAGTGAACCTATTTGTGATCTTGGTGGGACACAGAGACCATCATGTTCCACTGTAGAAGCCATAAAAGCCGAATACTCACCTTCCCAGCTTCCTTGCAGCCTCAGCCAATCAACTGCATCCTCTGTGGAGCCTGGGTTGGGAGCTGGTGTGAAGCCTCTCTCTGGCCATCCACAGGAGCCAGGGCACCTGCGTGTTCTGGAGTGGTAGAAAAGTCCTGGGACCAGTGCTGGCAGGGAGTCGGGGGCTGCCAGTGGGTCCAGTGGGGATAACCTGGGCCCCCTGCCAGTGGGTTCAGTGGGGATAGCCTGGGCCCCCTGTGGACAGGCCTGGTGAAGGCAGCAGGGGACTTAGTTTGCTTGCTGATCTCATCTGACAGCACCGGTTTTGCTGTGATTTTGAGGGGCAGCTTCCCTTGCACCTGCCTACCTTCCAGTCCTGTGTTTCCAATGCGCCGTGTGTTCATTGGCTTCCTGAGCACTGGTTCTAGTCCCAGCTACTCCACTTCTGATCCAACTTTCAGCCGATGATGGCTGTCTTCCCACCCATATGGGAGACCTGGATGGAGTTCTAGGCTCTTGGCTTCAACCTGGCACAGCCCTGGTGTGTCGCATTTGGTGGAAGCTGGTGGAAGATCTTTCTCTCTCTCTCTGTCTCCCCTTGCCACCATCACTCTACCTTTCAAATAAATAATAAATCTTAAAATAAATTATTGTACAAGGATCGGTTTCAATCCTTTTTATTCTTTTGTGTTTATACCAAGAAGTGGGATTGCTGGGTCACTTCAAGACATGTATGCAAAAATGGAATTAAAAGATAAGTTTATTTTGGTGTAAAAAAATTAGGAATTCATGGCATATGAGGAATTTTCAGCAAGTTCATGGAAAATGCCTATTATAAAAAACCATATGCACAAATTTCAAAATTGCATTTACCAAAATAAACTTATCTTTTAAATTTTCTTTCCACAGAATTTTTAGTATCCGCCCATGGCAATTCTGTGCCTAACCCTTTGAGGAGCTGCCGGGCTCTGTACTGCTTGTCTTTCCATATTCCTGCCAGCGTGGTGTGTGGTATCTGAATGGGTGCGCAGTCACTTCCTAAGGCATCACCCCGCAAGGGGTGGGGCTTGCACACCCAAACTCATCGGACCCTGAGCTTTCCACCCTGCATCCTGGCCTTTCTGAGGACCCCGCACATTCGTTGTGACAAAGTAATCTCCCTAACATCACAGGCTTTAGCCGAGCCATGCAATCTTTGGTCTGCTCCCAGGTGCCCTGCCTCTGATCCAGCTCCCTGCTAAAGCGCCTGGGAAAGCAGTGGAAGATGGCCCAACTGCTTGGGCCCCTGTAGCCGACGTGGGAGACCTGGATAGAGTTCCAGGCTCTTGGCTTTGGCCCAGCCTGGGCTACATTTGGGGAGTGAACTAGTGGGTGGAAAATCTCTCTCCTGTATGTCTCTCCTCCTTCTCTCTCTCACGCTGCCTTTCAAATAAATAGCTAAATCTTGGCACATTCCGTTAGGCTGCAGCTTGCTACTTCCACGGGAGGCAGTGCTAGGCTAACTTTAACACTTCCAATGAGCTTTTCTTTCTCCAAGCCCCGCCCCACCTCCCGCCCCTCCCTGCAGACTCTCACACCTCGAAGACCCAGGAGGAAGTCCCGCCCCGTGTGGGCCACGCCCACCTGGTGTTCTGCTGCGACAAGCATTTTGCCTGTGAACCTAAGTAGAGTGGTAAGGTGATGATGGTCGGTGTTAGAGCTTTGAGAGTGTTCTTTTGAGAGTCTCTCGTAACGCGAGCTGAGGTGGAGCCAAGCGGCGTCCAGATAGCCACCTGGACCGTTGTGTGAGTGTGCACTAATAAGAGAGTTAGCGGTTGAGACCTTGCCCTCCAAAGCTGGTATCTGGAGGCTGAGATAATACACGCCCGGGACCACTGATCCCAGCGCCTCCAGACACCTCTAGCTGGGGCTCCACCCTCTGGGAGTGCTCCCTCTGAGACAGCATCGGCTGCCAGAGGAAAGTCCTCTGCTTCCCTGCTGACCACGCACGGGACGGCCATGGCCATCTGAAGTGGGTCCAGTGCCGCCTTAAAGAGCTGAGCTCCAAGACTGACCACTTGGACAGTCTCTTTCCTGGACGCACTGTGTTTCCTTCCTCACCAGCACTCTGTGGCTGAATGATTGTCTTCTAATTTTTCCCAATTTTTTTTCATATATTCCTTTTGCTTATTCTGTTTTTGTGTAACTTTCCATGAACTGATTAATTTTAGAATTATCTTTGTTTTACCTGACTTGTCATTTGATTACAGAGGAAAGAACCCACCCCTCTTTTTTTTTTTTTTTTGCAAGATTTAATTAATTTATTTGAAGGGTTACAGAGAAAGAAGGAGAAACAGAGAGAGATGTTTTCCATCTGCTGGTTCACTAGCCAGATGACTGCAATGGCAGGGGCAAGACCAGGCCGAAGCCAGGAGCCAGGAGCTTCTTCCAGGTCTACCATAGTGGGTACAGGGGCTCAAGCACCTGGCCATTCTCTGCTGCTTTCCCAGACCATTAACATGGAACTGGATTGGAAGTGGAGCGGCCAGGACTCGAACCAGTGCCCAGATGGGATGCCAGCACTGCAGATGGCAGCTTAACCCGTTGTGCCGCAGTGCTGGTCCTGAGCCCGCCCCTCTTAGAGAAATCGGAATCCTTGAGGTTAAACCTTTGCCAGGTGGTAAGGAGCCAGACCATCTTTCCTGGTGCAGCCTGACAGCCCTTGGGTTTCAGCCTTTCTGAGGGCGCTGACCAAGGCAGGACAGGGAGATCTATGCCCAGCAGCAGTGTGGCTCAGCTCTCCCTGAGGCTGAGAACAGAACGCTCAGGGATCCCGGGGCTGTGTGGATGGTCCCAGGGGAATATCACCTCCGAGCAACAAGTATGCAATTCCGAAACCAGAGCCTAGGGAGACCAGAGCCAAGAGACTGCGCTGCTGGACAGAGCTCCACGTTTGCTTTTCAACGAGTCCCTGCATTTGTGGGGGGAGGGTGGTGGGCTTGAAGAGTTTCAGGATTTTAGACTCAGGATGCTTTGGGGGTGGCCATCTGGCCTAGGAGTGAAGACGCTCGCAATCCACGTTAGAGTGTCCAGTCAGTCCCAGCTCTGGCTCCTGACTCCAGCTCCCCGGTGATGCACATCCTGGGAGACAATAGGTGATGGCACTGAGTACTTAAGTCCCCGCACCCACATGGGAGACCTGGATTGAGCTTCTGGCTCCTGGCCTGACTCAGTTAGCCCCAGCCATTGCGGGTATTGGAGGATTGAATCAGTGGACGAGCGATCTCTATCTCTTTGCCACTAGAATAATAAAAACAAATTAAATTAAAAATTTTAAAAATAATGCTTTGTTTCCATTTCCCAAATTAGGGCAGTTTGTTATAATAGGAGCTTTTCTGTTTGGTGCAGTCTAAGCTGCTGTGTGGAAGCTGGGATAGATGGTGGGATAGAGCCTGGGCGACTCACACTCCAGAATTCTACCTTAGGGATTTTGGAAAAATGAGCTTAAAAAAGGACCAACTTTGGGGCCAGCATTGAAGCACAGCAGGTAAGCCACTACTTGCAACTCTGACATCCCATATTCAAGTGCTGGGTCAAGTCCTAGCTGCCCTGCTTCTGATCCAGCTCCCTGCTAATGCACCTGGCAAGCAGCAGATGATGGCTCAAGCACTTGGGCCCCTGCCACCCACATGGGAACCAGGATGGCGTTCTGGCTCCTGGCTTTGGCCTGCTCTCGCCCTGACTGTTGTACCCATTTGAGGAGTAAACCAATGGATGGAAGATCTCTCCCTCTCTCTTTTTCGCTCTTCCTCCGCCTTTCACATAAATAAATCTTTAGAAAAGGATCAACTTTGATCATAAAATGTCCATGGGACCACTTTTTTTTTTAAGGGAAAATATGTAGAATAGAATAAATGAACAGTAGGGATGCTGGTGAACCACAGCATGTCCTCTCAATGAGGGAGAGGCAGTTATCAAAGGCTGGCAAGGATGGAGCCTTGGCTGGACTCTCAAAGCTCAGAGAATGATACCCCAAGTGCAGGCCTCACAAGCAGCCAGGAGGGAAAGTGTCTCTCCACGCCTTCCACCTCCTGTCTCTTCCCATCCTGCTCCCCAAGGCAAGGCAGGTAAAAAATCCTTAAACCCTTTTCTCCAAAGCAAGACGCAGAGCCTAACATTCTTACCCTAATCTTCCCTGACCTTGCTGCGTGGGAGCTGGCCGTAAGGGCATTCTCCAATCCACCTTGTTTGATCGTGGGTCCTAAGACCCCACTTATAGAAAGTGTCCTGCAGCATGTCCAAGAGGAAGAAATCCTAGAAACGAGGGCCGAGAGCACTGTACAGACAGGCCTGTGCCCATTCTGCCCAGTCATGTCTCTCCACGGAACCCAAGCACACACAGTCACTCCCGCATCAGGGACAACTGTGAACTAATCCATTTGTCAGGCTTTTCTCTTATCCACCAGTCTTTTCTTATAAAGATGTCAGCTGTGGGGGCCGGCGCCATGGTTCACTTGGTTAATCCTCCACCTGCGGCGCCGGCATCCCATATGGGCGCCGGGTTCTAGTCCTGGTTGCTCCTCTTCCAGTCCAGCTCTCTGCTGTGGCCCAGGAGAGCAGTGGAGGATGGTCCAAGTCCTTGGGCCCTGCACCTGCATGGGAGACCAGGAGGAAGCACCTGGCTCCTGGATTCGGGTCAGCGCAGCGCGCCAGCCGTATTGGCCATTTGGGGAGTGAACCAGCGGAAGGAAGACCTTTCTCTCTGTCTCTCTCTCACTGTCTGTAACTCTACCTGTCAAATAAATAAATAAATAGATAGATGTCAGCTGTGACCCTTGGCAAAGGGGAGCAAAGGGATCACACACACACACACACACATTGACACACTCACACTCACACACATAACACCCCTTTTCTGTCCCTACAGGACCATTGAAAAACACAAGCAGAGAAAGCACTCTATAAGGACAAAAATATGACGTTCATGAATAAAGACCAGAAAACACACTTCCCCCAAAAGTGACTTAGGGACTGGGGTTGTTGGTGATTTTATTTATTTACTTATTTATTTTTAACAGTTTGTTTACTTATTTGGAAGGCAGAGTGACACAGAGAGAGGGAGAGACACAGAGAGATATCTTCCATCCACTGGTTCAC